TCGACACTAAACTGACAGTGTTCGTGTATTAGTGTAATTATTATGTAATAAATTTGTTTATAAGCGGAATATTAAGCGGTGATGTTGTTTGTTGGCTTTTCCGTCTCTCTCCCTCCGCCATGATGATTCGGGCACGAGGCTGTTGTTTCAACCGCCCTTCCTCCCTCCTCCACATCAATATCTCCACAAATATAATAAAATCTACAATTTAAACAAAGCATAATATTGCGCTAATATACTTAACATATATATGTTTATTATTCAACTCCCTGTCATTTACGCAAAGCGAAACAGCTGTGCAAATTTTGCTTCTTTGTGTTATTTGTCTCGCGCGCTCATGCATTTTCAGTGTAATTATAAAATAATGCATTATATTGTGTGCAGGATTGTAAATAAAGTGCATTAATACCTTCTAGAACCTCAAATATTGCCTGCGCCATCTTGAAGCTCCTCTGTTTAACGCCAGCGGTGGGCGGAGTTTGTTAAAATAATATTCACACTTCACACAAAGTTTACTTGATGGTGTTTGTAATGCAGTTTCGTCAAGGAAGAGTTGCATTTATGGTTTTAAATATGCATATATTCAAATTAGTACAATAATTTATGCTATTTTGTGGTTGTGTGAAATGATAATATCAAATATTTTACTTTTGTTGTGAAATCAAGGCTTCATTACATACAATGAAATAAGATTTTATATTTGTTTAATTTAAATAAATCAAAACTTCTAATTGGTTTCATAATAGAATAACATTTAAGATTTGTGTAAATCTATCCTAATGATATTATATGGTGCACACATTTATATTATTAAAATGTATTTATTATTAACAATAATTGTTGTTTTATATATAAATAAAATTATACGCTTTATTTAGTGATTTTATAGTATTATAGTAACATTACATTATTAAAATGTTATGTTTAATTTTTAATTTAATATCAATAGTTTTTTGTTTTTTTACTTTATTAATTTTTTTTAGAAAAGACCCCTTCCCCAATGATTTAACCCCTTACAGATGAGGGAATAAATACATTTAAAAAATTATAATATAAAAAAAATAAGGAAAAATAATACAAAATAATAATTGAAAAAAGAGCTGCCATCATAAATACTTTTCAGGGGATACATTTGTACATCAAGTTATATTGTGTTACATTGTAGTTAGTTCAGATAATATTGGTGATAGGTTCAATATCAATTGTAATATTGAACTTTTTTTCATTTTGTTGGTAATTATTCTTGTGTGATTTTTTTATATTCAATTCAATATTCAAAAATATAATATATATATATATATATATATATATATATATATATATATATATAGATAGATAGATAGATAGATAGATAGATAGATAGATAGATAGATAGATATAAAAATAAAGTATTATTTATTTTTTAATAAATGTATTATTAAACCTAAACAGTATTAGTATTATTCAAATGTTATTATAATTGTAATTATTTAATATTAATTATTATTTTTGTATATTGTATATTTGTAGATATTATTAAATATATTATTTTTATTTGTTAAGCATTTGAGATAGATAGATAGATAGATAGATAGATAGATAGATAGATAGATAGATAGATAGATAGATAGATAGATAGATAGATAGATAGATAGATAGATAGATAGATAGATAGATAGATAGATAGATTAAACTTCGTGTAGCGAAAGTATATGGATCATTTGGTTATTCACTTAAATACGTATTAACAATATTTCTATCTGATCAATTAGAACCATTTTTACGTCAACACAGTTTCTCCGACACCATCATCATTAAACGCCTCGAATTAAAGCGGAGGATTTAAAAATATGGTTTTCAATTCAAACTTGTTTTTACAAACTCGGAAAGAAAGGGAAACTGGGCCCTGTTGAGCGACAGCTGCTCCAGCCAACCAACGACGTGGGAACGGTGACGTGTGCGCAACTTTTTCGCCAATCAACACGCGGCACGCTGGCACGTGCCAGTTTCGCGGCAAAAAAGATTTGGCGCGTAAACCTTTGAGCAGGTTCCGATCAGCTGGAACAAAACAACACAACAATAACAACAGCGATTCCGGCCGCACCGCGCGCAGAGACAGCCGGGCCGCACCTTTCCTGCATTTTAATGGATTTATTTATTAAATAAGCCAGGATCTGGAAATTATTTGGAGTTAAAGGCAATACTTCCTGGATGGAGTCATTAAAAACAACAAAAGCGGGTGGTATTTTGGATTAAAGTGGCCGAAGAGAGAAGAAACAGGACTTTGGCTTTGTTCTACATCCGGATCGGGTTATATATTGTTATATTTACTTCTCTACAGCCTGTTTACTCAAATATATACACTCTTTTCTAACACGTTTACATGTGCTCATGTTGAAACAAACGCTGTTAGTTTGTAATATCGCAAATATATCGATATTTGAAAAGTTAATTTGAACGATACCATGTTTTATGCACTTTAAAGACTGAAATGGCGTTGCAGATTGTGAGCGATGATGTTTATTTATACTGGACTCCATTTATTATGCTTTTCAGCCATTTTCAGTAGCACTTCCCTAAACAAAGGAATAACTCAAAAAGTCCATCATGCATGCTTTTTATCATCTTAAATGTTTATAAACAGCATGTATACTCTCATTCTTTCATTTACATTAATGTAAATTAAGTATAGATCATATTTTTGCTTGGCAAACTGAAGTTGACCTACATTCTGGCCTTGTTGTGCTTTGGGTGCTTCACCCATATGTTCTCCAGTCAAGGCCTGTTTTTAAGAGCGTGCACTGATCTGGAACCTGTCAGAACATGGATCATCCCAATAAACCAACTAGTATAGTTAGCTAGAATAATAGGCTATTTCTCATGCACTTTCATCCATAAGCATTGACGGTAAGCCCAGAGAGCGAGTGAGCCCTGCTGTCTCAGCCCGATATGTCTGAGGGTTTTATTTCGGGTCAGACCTCGGAGGACCTGCTGGCTGATTTCGAGTCTCTGTTGAACAATGGCAGTATTGATCTCAGCGAAGATCATCAAATTGTCATCATCTCCACTCCTGGCACGGCCACCACCAGCACTGCTACGGGTGACATTTTACTGTTCGCAACGCCACATCATACAAGCACTGGGACCACCAGCCTGCCAGACCACCGGAGACCGATTTTGGGCCGCCCGCCGGTACGAAACCAGCCTAGCTGGGTTACTAATCAATAGATATCAGTTACTGATTGCAGATTACATGATAGCAATTGTAATACGTAATATAATCTCTTAGATTACACGTTTATGGTTATGTAATCTGACTACTTTTGGATTACTTTAATTGTAATCACGATGTAGCTACAATATTATTGCGATATTGATCTATCACTGTATTTATATCAGACTTAATATTAGACAATATAGATGGAGTTAGACTACTTTTGGATAACTTTAGGCTTCTGCCGGTATCAAATTGAATAATTAATGCTTTTTTTCACGATATATGGTATTATCACGATATTGACCTAATGTAATCTGACTACTTTTGGATTACATTTGGCTTCTGCCATATTAAATGTCTTGTTGTGATTAACTGTAGAAGCTTTTATCATGATATAAAGTATTATCACGATATTGACCTAATGTAATCTGACTACTTTCAGATTACTTTAATCTTAATCATAATATACTGTATTATCACTATATTGTCTTGTCACAATATTGATATTTATCACAATATTGAGCAAATGTAATCTGACTACTTTTGGATTACATTATTCTTAATCACGATATAGAGTATTATTATGATATTGACCTATTATGATATTAATATTTATCACAATATTGAGCTACTGTAATCTGACTACTTTTGGATTACGTTATTCCCAATCACAATATACGGTATTATTAAAATATTGACCTTTAATGATATTAATATTTTTTGCAATACTGACATAATGTAATCTGACTACTTTTGGATTACATTAATCTTCATAATGATATATTGTATTATCACAATATTAATATTCATCACAATATTGACCTAATGTAATCTGACTACTTTTGGATTACATTAATCTTAATCACGATATAGAGTATTATTATGATATTGACCTGTCATGATATTAATATTTATCACAATATTGAAGTGTTGTTATATGACTACTTTTGGATTACATTAATCATGATCATAATGTACTGTATGATGATGATATTGACTTGTCACAATATTAATATTTATCACAATATTGACCCAATGTAATCTGACTACTTTTGGATTACATCAATCTTGATCATAATATACTGTATTATCATGATATTGACTTGTCACGATATTAATATTTATCGCAATATTGCCCTAATGTAGTTGGACTACTTCTGGATTACATTTGGCTTCTGCCATATTAAATTACAATATTAGGTATTGTCGCTTTATTGTCCTAAAGTAATCTGACTACTTTTCGATTACATTATTCTTAAGCACAATATACAGTATTATCATAATATTGACCTATCATGATATTAATTTTTATCGCAATATTGACCTAATGTAATCTAATTACTTTTGTATTACATTAGACTTCTGCCGGTATCAAGTTTCTTATTGTAAATAATGGAAGCTTTCATCACAATATTAGGTATTGTCGCGTTATTGTCCTAATGTAATCTGACTACTTTTGGATTACATTCTTCCTAACAACTATATATGCTATTATTATGATATTGACCTATCATGATATTAATATTTATCACAATATTGACCCGATGTAATTTGACTACTTTTGGTTTACATTAATCTTGAACATAATAAACTGTATTATCATGATATTGACTTGTCACGGTTTTAATATTTATCGCAATATTGCCCTAATGGAATCGGACTACTTTTGGATTAAATTCGTCTTGATCATAATATACTGTATTATCGCGATATTGACTTGTCACGATATTAATATTTATCGCAATATTGACCTAATGTAATAAGACTACTTTTGGATTACATTCATCTTGATCATAAAATACTGTATTATCGCGATATTAACTTGTCACGATATTAATATTTATCGCAATATTGACTTAATGTAGTTGGACTACTTTTGGATTACATTTGGCTTCTGCCATATTAAATTTCTTGTTGTGATTAATTGTAGAATTTTTTCATCATGATATAAAGTATTATCATGATATTGACCTAATGTAATCTGACTACTTTTGGATTACATTATTCCCAATCACAGTATACTGTATTATTAAAATATTGACCTTTCATGATATTAATATTTTTCGCAATACTGACATAATAATGTAATCTGACTACTTTTGGATTACATTAATTATACATAATGATATATTGTATTATCAAGATATTTATATTCATCCCAATATTGTCTTAATGTAATCAGACTACTTTTGGATCACTCTTATTGTGAGTTATTGAAGCTTTTATTATGATTATCAAGATATTGACCCAATGTAATCTTACTATCTTTGAATTAAATTAGGCTTCTGCTGGTATCAAATATTCAGTATCAAGTATATATGTATATATATATATATATATATATATATATATATATATATATATATATATATATATATATATATATATATATATATATATATATATATATATATATATATATATATATATATATATATATATATATATATATATATATATATATATATATATATATATATATATATATATATATATATATATATATATATATATATATATATATATATATATATATATATATATATATATATATATATATATATATATATATATATATATATATATATATATATATATATATATATATATATATATATATATATATATATATATATATATATATATATAATATTTATCTTAGCCTGATAAATTACATCTTAGCGTGTGTTCCAGCGTGTAGACTGGACGTCTGTACCTGGGAGTGTCTTATTACGTCTCCGAGTGTGCAGCATTCATTCATGAGTAAGACTTGGTTCAAACCAATCAGCGCACTCTATTGAGCAACTTCATTAATATGCATGATCGCTTCCAAGGCGTGTTGTGGCGGCACGTTGTGTTCCCAAGAGGGAGAACATGAATTGCTTGGAGATACGGGTAGTCAGTGTTGCTTTTATAATTTGCTGCAGTGAAGGTTTTGTTTTCATTTTCCCTTTTTGAGAGAGCAGCTGGACTCACGTGAGGATTACATGTTATTATAATTTTCCATTTTCCGTATCTGCAATGCCTGTATTTTGGCTTTTTTTTTGGCAGTCCACTTAGAATCCAACTTGGAAAAAAAATTTTTTCTTTATTGGCATTGATTGTATTGAAATTCAAATGGCATTAACATGCCTGTGTGTTAATTTCTGTAATAAATATGGCTGTCAAGCAGGATCTTGATGGTTTATTGTGGGTTTGTTGTTT